TGTGTTAAAGCAATTTCAATCAGTTAAAAGAATTGATTTAGTGTGGGATGTATTTAAAGAGGATTCGCTGAAAAAAAACACACGGAAGAAGAGAGGCTTTGGTTCACGCCGCAAGGTTTCAGCGACAGCACGTATCCCTACTGACAGGAAGGGCTTCCTGCGCGTAGATGCCAACAAAATGGATCGGTTCAATTTCTTGGCGCAGAAAGTTATTTCCTAGCCGATTCCAGAAGAAAGAGAAATTTATAGCACATTTGAAGAAAAGGTCTTGGGCTTCCCTAAAAGAACCGAGGTATCAATGTTGGAACCAGGTAATCATGAAGAGGCTGACACACGATTGATGGTGCACGTGTCAAATGCAAGTAACTGCGGTCACCAGAGGATTGTTGTAAGAACAAATGATACTGACGTATTGATACTGGCCATTTCAAGGTCCGATGGTCGATGCAATCTGTTCTACCGTTGTTTCACGCTTTTACGGGGTGTGATACTATTTCCTTTTTTGGAGGTCGGGGAAAGAAAACTGCATGGGATGTATGGAATGTATTTCCAGAGCTAGCATTAGCTTTGCAAGAGCTAAATTTGTTGCCAGAAAGGATCGATTGTTCGTCCTTGCAGGTAATTCAGAAACCGCCAAAGGCATGTATTGTCTATCAAATAAGGTCTCTATTATGATTCATATAATGTTTTGCAAGTGATTGAGCGATATGTGGTCCTCTTATACGATCGTGCAAGGAATCTCACCAGAGTCAATGAAGCTAGATAAGAGTTGTTTGCCAAAAACTCAAGAACACTGGATAAAATTCCACCGACCCAAGAAGCGTTGCTTCAGCACACCAAGCGTGCATTGTTGCAAGGTGCATTTTTCTGGGGGCAATGCTGCTTAAAAGAGCAGGCTATTCCCACTCTGTCAGGTTGGGGCTATTACCGTGATGAAAATTCTTGGTTACCAAAGTGGTCAAATCTCTCTCAAGTTAAAGATGCCTGTTATGAACTGATTCGTTCCGGATGCAAAAGTTCGTGTTCTAGTCGTTGTAAATGCGTCAAAGCACACTTAGTTTGTACTCGTTTGTGTAACTGTGGGGGTGATTGTCAATAACATGATGGCATTAAAATCATTTTAATATTACTGTTCTTGGTTATGTGCTTTTCCAATGTATTTAAGAAAGAGCAATAACACTAAACAAAAGTGCTGAGTCAGCACTTTTAAAACACTTTTGATGTAGAATATTTCAGAATGTATTGCTGTAAAGCAAAAAATGTAATATAGTTTTTCTATCGTCTTTAGCTGTTGTATAAGAATATACAGAGAGATTGCGATGACTCCGTACTTTTGTTTTTTACTACTGAAAACGTCATCAAACACGACATGCGCAGAACGCGTTGTAAATGTAAAATATGAGCTGGCCCTATATCAAAATTTTGTCTTTTGAGGCATGGTAAGACTATAAGAAAGTTTTACCCTTGCATCATTCAAGTGAAGAATTTTGTCATTAACAGCTGTACTATAATTTTTATAAAATAATTACGATTATTATTCACTATGTGAGCATTACCGGCTGTGATTGGTCAACTACCTGCAGATTATTCTCGATATTTGCAGGTTATGACGTCATAACTTACAGATATTAGTTTCCACAAATATGGCCGCCATTAAATGCTGGTTTTAAAAACAACAGCGATGTTTGCTACAGTTTCTAAAAACGATGTGAAAGGTTTTAAAGGAAAAGGATGCGGAAAACACTAAAAGAGCGGCGAAGCTGGCTTTGAACACATTTACAACATATTTAAACGAGACGGACTTGACTAAACCGTCTGACAAAAACAAATTAGCGAAGGTTTGAAAAATGTTTTATATGGATATGTTCTGATAATACTTCGGTGAATAATAAAACAATTATTGCATTCGTGTTTCGCATGATATCAAGAATCGGTCTGAATGATTCTTGATATAATGCTCAACCTCATCATTCCATACAGTAATCATTCCATATAGTTATCTAAAGCAAAACTTTATCGATAATGCAGTTGCACTATACACTATGGGTGTAAAAATTTTAGTTATATTAAAAAAATCAATATATTAATAGTATTTTGCATTGATTTATATTTAGCTGTGCCAAAGGTGTTTAAAATCTGCTTTGTTTTCTGTTGGCGATGTAGAATATGCATTTTCAACATGAGATTTGAATGATACGTGACAAATGAATAAAAAAAGAAACATTTTTCACCTTACACACTGGGGCCGTTTGTATAAAAACGTAGCTAACTTTAACTATAGTTAACGCTAACTACCGTAGTTAACTCCTTAACTGTAGTAACTTAACTGCTCGGCTTAGCTGCGTTGCACAAAACGTAGTTTGTCGGATAGTTAAGTAACTGCGTATTTAACTTGCGTGGAAATTTCGTGAAGTGTTGTTTACGTTAAATGACATCAGTTTCATCACATAAAGTTTAATCAATTTATGCTTTGTAATGGCGGGCAAGTGTGTTAGGTTTGCTCTCATGTGATGTGTATATGTGTATCTTGTAAAGTGTGTGTTAACTTCCTACATGCTTAATTATAGAAATGATTGTAAACGTAATCGATATTATTTGTAACAAGAGCTGAGGAAATAAATTGACCAATCATAGTTTAGCGTCACGTGTGTAAATAGCTGTATCATTATGTGTATCAGTTAGTTGTCGTGTGCTAGTCTTTCTCCTATGTGTGGGAAAAAATGTAATAAAACCTCCAGACATCCGTGTGGTTATTTATCATGGCCACTGCATCAAACCCAACAAAGTGAACTATAAAATGACTTTAAAATGAAGAAAAATCTCTTGGCTTATGTAAAAATCTTAAAATATGACAAACTATTGTCGTTTTTACGGATGTTGATGATGCGAAAAGAAAATTTAATAAACAATTCACGGTGACATGGTAACAGGATTAAATTGTAGCATATACTTTAGACTTTTCTAAAGAAAATCGACCCTTATCTTCTGTGTAATACAGTACGATGTTGATGAATGATGAGTCTCGGCAAGGACTGCTTTATTTTATGTACCAATTGTATATAATGGACTTGGGCAAACGAAACAATGAACTCTTCTCAAATTGATTCATATTGTGTTTTATGTGCAAGGATTTAAATATTTAAATGGCCTTGCTTTTACAGAATTTAAAACTGAGAGATTGAGGGTAAAAAAGGAAAAGGTCGTTTCGTTTCTCTATAAGAGCTGAGTAAAATGCTTGAAAGAAATGTGTCTGTGCAGACATAAGTCACACATATTTGTAAAAGATGACAGTGATGGACTTTTTTATTGTTAGAAAATATTTCTTTGAGTCATCATAGTTAGTAGCCATGTAATCCAGCAACTATCTTTTCTCTGCTTGTGACATGTTATATTCACAGCTATACACAAAATACTTATTTGTTCTTAATTCTGCCTTGCAAAAACTGAGTTATAAAAACTATTGGGTATATTTGTTAATGAGCCTTAGCTATGAAACTTTTATTTATGCCTTTGTTATTTATCAGCCTATTTTTGTCTAAAGCTTGGGAGTTTTATTCATTTTTTTCTACTTTTTAAATCATCAAACAGTAGCTAGATCTTTATAGCTGGCAAGATTGTATGCACATTAAAAATAAACATTTTTATATAGGAAATATATGATGAAATATCAATAAAACCCACTAATTGACTGTCATGTATATTTTCTGCTTGTGTAATAAACCATGTGCAATGTATAATGTACATATATTAAGAAACATGGACCTTCACCATGCATGCTAATGAAATGTTTTATGTGTTTAAAAAACTAACATCATTGTATCTCATGCAGCTGATACACAAAAGACTAGTCATGAATAAAAACGTTTGCAAAGCTCATGTATCTATATGTGTTATCATTGGTATACTTAGAACAACATTTATACTGTAGTACCTCTTTGTTTTAACATAATCTAGCTTATTTTCCATAGAGCAAAGAATTTATATGATGCATATGATATTCAATCAAGCAAAATGCATAGGGAAAAACCCGCAATTTGAATATTTGATACATCCAAGGCTAAAGAATTCATTGCTCGAATAACATTCTTTCTTTTTTTTGTCATTGAACTAATTGTACGTATTTGTAAGACAATGTCAGCGAGTTATGTGCACTAATCTTAGAGAAGTGGCTCTATCTCAATTGAGAGTCTCGCTTATGAGTTGCAAAGAGCTACCGGACGCAAAAAAAAGACAATACAAAATGCAATTGCTCTTGTGTAAAAAGGGATTTCTTACGCGAATAAGTTGTTGGCTGTTTTTCATCAGCAAAACTTGGGATGCTTACAGCACTGACGAATGTAGTACACCGTCCATAAAGCTCTTATTCTAAAAGCCTTTGCCATGGAAGATACATATGTGATTAAAAACTCAAGGTAAAACCTTGTTGAACAACAACATCTCGCCCATAATTGTCTTTGAGAAGCTAAGCCGCCTTTTTTAACTGTGTTTTGAAAAGTTAACTATGCTCCATAGCATAGTTAACTTTAACTACCTTTTAACTGCATTTAGCGCTAACTACCTTTTTATACAACCGACCTAATCGCGTGGTTAAATTTAACTAGTTCTTAACTGCAAAAAGTGTAGTTAAAAAGTAGTTAAGGGCTTTAAACAACCGGCCCCAGAACATTTAAGACTGTGTGACGAATGACGTGTCACTATTTGACTAAACATGTTATTAATCTTATAGCTTTGCTATATGAATATAATTTGAGATAAACTATTGAAATAAATCGGAAAAGATCAGAAGTTTCCATTACTAAATCGTTGCGAACTCAAATTTATTGAAAAATCCCATTAGAATCACCAAATGTTATCCATATAAAACATTTACGTAACGCGGAAATGACTTTATCGCAAATTTTCTTGACATAAAGAAATAATTGATAAATGGACATAAAATATTAAATCCCAAACTTAAAATACATTATTACAATGACAACTAAACTTTAAAATCAACATACCTTCACAAATTGAGAAGGATTAAAGACGCAACCAACTACATGATGCCTTTGCTTTTGCTTGATAATAAAGAAATTGGGATGTCCACTTAATATCATATTTCAATCCCCTGCTGTTTATATTGTGAAATATCGAATTACAAGGTTAAATAGTTGGAATGTTATTAAACAAAAGGAATGATAGCACAGCGCTTTTACCAACAACTACAAACAATAACGACCTTATCTAACAACATTTGAGAAAGTAACCTTCCACTCCTCTTCCTTGTAAACCAGACAAGTCTACTCAAAAGCAGAGAGCCTTATACGCTACAATCTATGTTTAACATCGATATTAGATTCATTCTTTTCAAAACAATCGGTTCACGTTCATTCACAGGTAGAAAAGAAAATGTGAAAAATTTTCGTTTAGCTCAATAAATTTATATAAAGACTTATTATTTGCTATTTTCTCTAATTTTTGCCAATTGGGTATGATTCAAGAAAACACGTTTCTAAATTTTTTTGTTTTCTATTTTTGCATTTTTTAGGTGTTTTCTTTAAAAAGTCAACTATTGTCAAGGAGAAAGAGTTTGGCATTTGGATACGTTGAAAGGCTCGTTTTGGACTTATAAGTTCAAAAGTAAGTTCATGAGTAAAATCTTTCCTAGTATCATGCAAGATCTTGCATGAGTAAAATTTTACAGTGTCTCTCTAATTCTACATTCTTACCACCATGGTTATATATGCCAAAATCTTGCATCATTGTTCTTCTATAGTCTTCTAGCAATACAACACGTGACGATCTCTTCCAGCCTGAACGGCTGTCTCTATGCTATATGTGATCAAGAGAATTCCTTCCAATCCGAAAAGTGTGCGGTTTAATCGCAAAATTACTCGAGAAGAGAACTTACTTTCTAGATTGAATCATGAAAATATTGTAAGGTAAGAAGAAATTTATCATTCAAAATGAATCCTAATTTTATAACATACTGGTTCAAAGCGAGGTTCAATTTAGACGATAGAAAGTTCTTGGCTTATTAAATGTTATCTTTGTAGAAACTATTATAAGAAAGAAGATAATCCCTTTTTTCCATGAAGCCCATAGATGCTTTCGTTCATAATGAAAGTCGTATTGTATAAGGAGGACTTCGTTCATCACGAGAGAGTTATGAGAAAGTTAAAATGTAAAAGGTAACAAGTAAAAAATGTTTAAACATGCTTGAGTCGGTTTAAGTTATGAGTCAAAAGTAGAAGTTGTTTGAACCTTTCTGTATCTTTGGATGTTCTAATTTCCTTTTTGAGAATAATTCTGTTAAAGAAAAAAGACAAAATTTGAAAAAATAAAAATCCCGTTTTTGTTCTATGCCTCCCGATGCCCTGAGATATTTGAGCACTAGAGCGTCTCGTGTTAATTAAGGGAACCAGATAATCCTGTCAGTCATGTAGCCCATCGATGGTTTGCTCGTGATACGCTAGAAACAGCAAATAAGAGAGTTGAATCAGAAAGAAATAAATCAATAAAAATTGTATAAAACATGTTTAAGGTTGTCTTAAAGTATAAGTGCAAGAAAAAGGCACAGTGTCAGAAGAAGTTATTGAAACATTGCTTGGTTTATTTTATGAACATCAGTTTATTTTGTAAACAAAAAGATAAAATTGAAAAGCAAAAAACCCCGTTTTCGGTCCATGCTTCCCGATACCTTATTAAGCGCAAGGCACTAGAACGCCACATGTTAACGTTTCGGTGGGAGATTTCGGCCCCTTCACGCTATCCTACTTGGGAGATGCAATAGCAAGCTTCCGCCCATCAGACCCCGAGATCACCTGCGATAGGCTTTGCTCTGGGTATTCAGGGAGAGTGCGGTCGCCACAGAAGTGAGGGCCCCTAAGCCACTGCATACTATATCGCACCCAGCTTCCACTGTTAGTTGACATCTACTATATAGAGTATTTACTATATATATATATATATATATATAAAAATTCATAGGCTTACGAAAATTATGGTATAATTAATGTCACTACTGCTTATGCCCAGTTGATTTCTTTGATAATTTGCGACTAAGTAAGTTAATTGCGACAAGTGTAGTGCAAGTACAAATAGTTAGTCGTTTCCATGACATCAGCAATTAGTCGAGTAGACTGCGCATGCTCGAGCGCATGCGCAGATGATTTCTCAATTAAATTGTTACTAAGCGTGCTATTTACTTTAAAATTTGTGCTAGTAGATGTAGTTGGTCGTTGCTATGACCATGAACTATGGCAGATGGTCAAGTCGACTGCGCATGCTCACTGAGATCACTCATGCGCAGATGATTTATCTATAAATTTGTGTTAGAATGAGCTAATTACTCCATAATCGGTACTAGTACCTACAGTTGGTCGTTGCCATAACCATGAACATGAAATGTTGGTGCAGTAGACTACGCATGCTAAGATTAATTCTCCATTCATTTGGACCGAGCGAGCTCTGAAATTGTTGCTTATGAATTTGCTTATCAACTTTCAATAAAAATTTTTGGCACGCTGTTTGTCTTCTTAAGATTGTTTTAACAATTGCATACAAAATCATCAACACTTTGTTACGCCACTCGTTTATATTTGTGACAATGTTAGAGATGTTTTTCTTTTTCACCAAAACTCTGTATCTCGATATTTTGTGCATAAACAATCCTCTAATATTTATGACAGATTTTATAAATCGTGGATTGAAGTAGAAGAAATACTTGAAAATGAAGCTTCCAGCAGTGAAACAAAATCAAGAAAGACAGAGACGAAACGACGGCGCAAGGTTGAAGATAGCTTGATGAAATTGAACGAAGTTCAAGCACCTAGCGTACGCTCGAGAGTTTTGGATAAGAACACGTTCACCAATGAAAACACGAATGATTCCAAGCATGTTGACGACGATAAAAACTCTAGCGAGAAACATGCTCCAATACAAAAACAATCCGTTTAAAACACGAAGTCTACTGAAGATTTGTTCAAAAGAAATATCGATGAATCACATATACAGTTTGGAAGCTCGCTAGCTCACGTGTTATTTAGTAGTAAGAATTGTTCATGATGTTGTGGAAATTGTGTAAAAATAACTACCATGCAGCATCTGTGGGACGATGCATGCACCATCACCCCCACTGTGGGACGATACCATTGGACGACACCCCCCTTTCTTCGGATGGTCTATTTTGGCGGAAATCTGACGCCAAAAATCCCCACGTGGAAATTGGGTGGAAGACAATTTGTAGTAGTTCAAGATGAATTTCCAATATTTAGGACTCGTCTTTTACCTTTAAAATGGTCTTAACAAAATCTTATCTGCGTTACGTCGAAGCTGGAATCTTTGGCGTAGTGGGAAGTGCTAGAGCTAATGTGTGTCTTGTTCAAAGTGGCGAGAAAAGACGTGAAATTTGCCGCGCGATTGTTCCCGCACTAGAAAATGTATATATTTGGGACGCTAGACTTGGCGAAAAAGTATTTGAAGAGAATTGTTGAAACCTTTAAACAATATTAGATTTTCCACTATTTTAAAATTGCTTTTATGATATGCTTATCTAAATGTCTAGGTGAATGTCTTACAAGGTAACAAGAGCGAAGTGACATGTCTCTGCCTCAGTCCTGACTCTGAACATCTTGCTGTTGGGTGAGTAAAACAACTTATCTAAATTAATAATATAGCATTTCATTATGTCTAGTAAATGATGCCGGATATTTACTTCATTGTGTCTAAACACTTTCAATAGTAAAAGGTATGGTTGTAAGAAACACAAGGTCAGGCAGGGGAAGGGGCTCGACCCCCCTGCTTGTAAAAGGCAGATCCTGTACCTCCTAACATATAAAAGCCAGATCTTACCCTTCCCCATTGTATTCTGAAAGATCTTGATATCCAGGAAAAAAATGTCAGTCAACCTTTACAGTAAAATGTTAACAAAAATGAAAATCATTGGTGTACATTCCCCACAAGTCCCAAACTATTTTAATTTCTACATCTTTGTTCGACTTGATAAATTATATCCCTTTGACAACAGGTAATAAAATTTGCCAATATAAAATAATTTTCCTTGCTTTTGAAAACTGAACAGCTTTTGATCTTAATGTATGTTATAAATTTGCAACTGCTTACAGGGAAAAGAATGTAAAGCTTAACCTGCATACATGCACCTCCACCTGCATACATGCACCTCCACCTGCAGTTTATTTTTAAATTTTAGGTATGGCGATGGTGTCATCAGAATTTGGAATATAGATAATGGTACATCCTCGATGACATTTAGGTACATTTCCAGTCATGGAATATATTTTTTAGTTTGGTCTATGCTCAACCATTTGTTTACCATCGGTACTTCTGATTTCCAATTACTAAACGGTCCAGAACTCATTTCAAAAATTTTTCAGTAAACAAACAGTTAATATAACTCAGCACGCTATTATAATATATGTGCTAGGCACATCAACCAAAAATTTTCCAACTTTAAGACCCACAATGCACACAACAAGGTATAAGAGGTATCCTGGAGAGGGTTACAACTTGTACAGATGTTGTTGATGGTGCATTTTGCCCTATTTAGCCTTTTGTTTGCCATTGCAACTTCTGTGTTCCAATCACAAAGCAGTTCAAAACTCAATTGAGAAAATTTGCCAGTAAACAAGTTACTACTTGAAGCAGTAAATTAGTTCTAAAAAACAATGAATTTTTGACCAAAGTATTTCTTTAGAGGCATAATCAAATCGATATTACGTTATTTATTATATATGTATAAGCTAATTGCTAAATTAATATTTTCAAACGTGAACAAATTCATATGATTTAGTGTTTTTAAAGTGATTTTGCACATCGTTTGAAAATGATGTGCAATTGTTTTCATTGCTAAAACAATGCAAATTGCATTGCACACTGTTAATTTGACTTGAAGACATTTTACACTCTCAAACAAAAGAAACATGGAAAGTTTTCAAATTTCAGTATACAAAGTCAATAAGAGATAATTGAACCTTAAAGGCCTTGTAAATTTGCATGGAAACTTCTGAAACTATAAGAATAGTCAATACAACCAGTGTCGTCCCTAAATATAAAGCAGTGATGTAGTCAATGTTGCACTGTTGCATTACTGTGGAGTGAAGGGTAGACTTGTGTTTTAGTGTAAAATTATAAATTCTGGTGAATGGATGTGTATCTGTTTTCAAAGATGCCAAAGCAATCATCTTCATTAGGCATTTCTATTCTTGCCATATCTTGAATGAAACATTAAAAATTATTTCATCTTTTGGGTTTGAAAGTTACATGTTTAAATGTAGATGGTTGGTATAGTCCTGAAAGTCCTATAGAACAACAAAACAGTTTCTCAGGACTATACCAACCTTCTCATGAATTTCTTCTAGTGGTCACAAGACAGCAGTTACAGCTCTTAACTATGATTATACTGGTGTCAAATTGGTGTCTGGATCAAAGGTATTCTTTAATCGTGATTTTTATGACACTTAAATCAATTGCCATAAATTGTGAAGTATAGTTTATAAAATGTGAACAGTTCATTTGTTTTGTTTTCTACCACTACTATAGGATACAGATGTGATTGTTTGGGATATAATTAATGACTCAGGAATGTTCAGGTACGATTATGATCATTTAATGTTATACAACAAGTTTTTTAAAATAAACATGTTTCAACATCTTTTGATGCCATCTTCAGTATAATAAAGAGTATTATATATGTGATGAATATAAATAAGATTAATATGATACAGTAATACAATTTATACAATTATGAGTAGATTATATATAAATATTACAATGAAATATTGATTAGAATGAATGATGAGTGTATTTATATGAAGGTGGCATCATGAGATGTTGAAACATTTTTTTAAAAACTTGTGGTATTCATTAAATGTGCATTATCAATACTGCTTTATGATTATGTTGATATTCCAAAGTAAGGTATTTCTCTTTACATGTTTTTATGTTATTGACTTTCTAAAAGTGTTGGAGGTATAAGTTACTAACTGAGAGTGGAGTATGACTTACAAACTGAGAGTGGGAGTATGACTTACTAAATAAAAGTGGGAGTATGACTTACTAAATAAAAGTGGGGTATAACTTACAAACTGATATGACTTACTAAATAAAAGTGGGGTATAACACAAACTGAGAGGTGGGAGTATGACTTACTAAATAAAAGTGGAAGTATGACTTACTAAATAAAAGTGGGAGTATGACTTACAAACTGAGAGTGTATGACTTAAATAAAGTTATGACTGAGAGTGTATGACTTACTATGACTGAAGTGGGAGTATGACTGTGGGAGTATGACTTACAAACTGAGTATGACTTACAAACTGAGGGAGTATGACTTACTAAATAAAAGTGGATGACTTACAAACTGTGGGGAGTATGTGCTTACAAATAAAATTGGGAGTATGACTTACTAAATAAAAGTCAGGTATGGCTTTCTAAATACTTATGAACTGAGTGTATGGGTATGACTTACTGACTCTTGCATACATACTGTATGTATGTTGTAAAGCTTAGAAGCTATATCATATGACAGAAATGTCAAAGTTAGTTCTTTATTATATAGCAATGTTTGTTAAGAAAGAGATAAATGATGTGTATGTATGTATGACCACAATGTTCTTAAATTTGTTATTTCTTCAGACTTAAAGGTCATAAAGGAATGGTGACTTGTTGTCGGTTTCTTCATTTTCAAAATGTTCTTATAACTAGGTAAATGTAGAAGATCTATTTTCATCTTAAATGGCTTTGCTAGTTTATATTTAATGGTTTTGTCTTTCCTAGTTCCAAAGACACTTTCGTGAAATTTTGGGATCTTGATTCACAGCATTGTTTTCTTACTTTGGTTGGTCATAAAACAGAGGTGAATGGAACCTATGAATTTGTTGTTTTGATAGGATGTAGGAGTTGTCTACCCTTCACTCTCCGTAAAAGAATAAGGATGAATACTTGGCTAGAAACAGGGATTTAGGAACAGTAATAAAGTCACTGTAATGTACATTTTTTTAAGGTTTGGGGCTTTGTCGTCGTCAAGAATGAAACAAGGTTAATTACTAGTTGTGCTGATAGTGAATTGAGAGTTTGGAAAATTGAGGACAAAGATGATAGAACAGAAAAACGCGACGAAACGAGAAAACGAAAGACAGCAACGCAATCTAGCGAGGATGGTGTAGGGGAAATAGAGGTACATAAGAGGTGTTTGGTGGTAATTTCTCTGCGTTGTCTTGCATGATGCACGAGGGATAATAGTGGATGCTACTTAAATTCAGAAAACCAAAGGGAAAATAAGCGTTTTTAAGCTGTTTAGTTACAATGCGTAGTTACAATGAGGTAGTATTAGGATTGTTGGTGGATATTTGTGAGGTAAATTAGGACTATTGGTGAATATTTGTGAGGTATACAGTATAAGGAATGTTGGTTGATATTTGTGCATAGGATTGTTGTTGATTTTTGTGAGTATTACTATGTTAGGTTAAACTAATAAAATCTCTAATAAACTTTGTGTTTATAATTTGGCCATCTGCATTTGACCTGTCACCACTGCATCAAGCATTTAGTCTAGTTTTAAATTCATAAATAAGCATTTAGTTCTAGTTTCAACTCGGATTTCAACTTCTATATTTCGAATTTCAATAGGAATTGCTTTCGTGTACAATAATTGGCTCTGTCATGAAAAGCTCAACTGATCGCGTAGTGTCGCTGTATTGCGATCTTTCACGAACTTATATTGGCTGTCATGTACGTACGTTATGTAAGAAGTTTTTATTTGGGATTTAGATTGTAAAAAATTGCTATGGAGATGATGAACATTATGTGACTACTGCTCAGCTTTATGTTACAACCTAGTATCAACTATAAATGGCATTTCTGATTGGATTAATCAGACAGTAATGATAAACATTAACTTTTCGTTCTTTATAATTCTATAGCTTATTGTATTTCATTGTACTATTTAAAACCCTAGACAATAACAACGCACAGCTTTCTAAGAAGTGGGTTTGGTATTCAGTTATGGAAAACAAAATATTTAATTTACATATCAATTTTGCTACAGTCACCGAGAGTCGTGTTGACATCGTGAGGGAATATTCATTATAAAAGCAACTGTCTGAGTAATATTTGTGCAATTTTACAAACCCAGCTGAAATTCTTGCAGTAGCAAATATTGCTCAGTTTTCAATGGAAAAACTCCATCCTAATGTCGACCATAGGTTGTCATTGTTCATTTCATGATAACCAAGTTGAGAATGTAGTATTTTACGTATGTCGAAAACATTCACAGTTAGGAATGAATTTTAAAAAATATAATAAATATTTCTTATTTCACGAGAGGACTAAAGAAAAGATGTGGTTATGTGAAGATAATTTTTATTTGTTTAGGGTGCTAATTCTACGTTAGAAATGTTTCGTCTTGCATCAGAAGACGAAATAAAAAAACGCTTGGCAAAGAGACGAAAAAAGATTTTAAAGAAGCAAAGGTTGTTGACTTTGAAATTTTAAAACTGTATTCAAGCTTTTTCTCATACATGTGTTATTTTTTATCCCTTATTTATTCCTAGATCACAAGGATTGGAAGCCGACGAGCTGACGGTTAGATAATTTTTGTTACGTGAAATTTGTGTGCAAAGAATTTTGACGGATCAAAATATACGTAGTTTACGCTAAGACATCACAATCTTGCCTCGTTTCTGTAACATTGTGATATTTCTCTTTATTTGTGAATAGTTCTTATATATATTATGTCAAAATCCTGGAGCATATTTGATTTTGTTGCTTGAAATGAAATAGATTTTGAATACGTAGAAACAGAAATACGTAGGAAAGAATGAGATATGCGTTGTTCCAACATTTTAATTGTGTATTTGCGCACTATTTGTCTTATTTTTGAAACATGTTTTAACATTACTTTTATTTTATCAGGTTTCTGAAAACGTCTTAGCCACCGTCGAAGACGAGATTATAAAATTACCCGATGTTAAAGCGACCTCAAAGATAAGGTAAAATGATGTATGGAGTACAAACATTGTAATTCGCTTGTGGAAGTCAAGCGTTTTGTGTGAGAGAGAGAATTTTTCTAGACGTGCTTTTCTCAACGGATGTTTTTTCTTAAATATAACACAGAAAAAGTTTATCGTCATTTGAAATTAATCAATGTTGGTTTCTAACTCTTTCATACATGCAATATTTTTAAGCAGTTTTGTAATGTCAATTTTAAAAATTGCTTGTTCAAAATGGTGAAATAAAAAAGTTATTTTTAAATAATATTTATGATTCAAAAGTTGTGTCTAGTCCTCCTCGTACATACGTACGTCGTTCATTCACTTGTCTTGCTTTCCCGCCATTATAAAATACAAATAATGTTTTTTTCTTATTAGGTCATTTGACTTTGCATTGAATTCAAATAATGATCTAAAGGTATCTTATTATTTTTGTCCGCGATTTTATTTTATATTTGAGAAGTATGGATGTGTTAAATTGATGTTTCTGTATAATTCCAAGTGTTGTTAAATAGTCATTTTGAACGATGAGAAATAGTCTTTCGTCATTTTTATCATCTTATTTGATTGTACATGTAAAGAATGCGTAGTATACTGGATACTATGGAATTAGTTGCATCCACTTGAAATAAGAAGTTTTTTAAATTTCTACAGATTTCATTATTACTACACAACAACAGCGTAGAGTTTCATGTCTTCAGTGAAGAAAAGAAAGATTCAACTAATATACTTTCCATAAAGACACCTGGTCATCGTAGTGATGTAAGGTATGTGGCTACGTAGATCTCAATAAATCTGGAATGTGATGACAATAAGTTAAAGTCTTAAATCTCATGTGCCTTTAGAAGCGTCATACTGTAACAGCTCACTTCATCTGATCGACCCCTAAGTGCAAATGTATTTTTATTTTACATAGCGATTCAATGGTTAGAAATAATTGCATGTGAGAAAATGATTAATTTTGTTGTGTTGTTGTTATTTTCGCTTCATCCGCATTTTGTAATATTTTTCACTTTAGCATGAAATCTTGAATAAAATGGATGGCGCATTTTTTATTTTATGAACTTTACCCTTGATTTAGTTGATTTTTAGCTAGCTTTGTTACTTTAGGACTTTGTCATTCAATTCTGACGATTCCTGCATCCTCTCTGGCGCAGCTGAAAGTGTTAAATTGTGGAACAGGTACAATAAACAGATTTTTAAAGTTGTGTATGTGTATTTGCTTGTAATTTCTTTAACTAAAACATACAATGATGCATATTTTTTAAATTTTATTAAGTTGTACCAACAGGATAATCATTCTTTCTCTCTTAGGGGAATAAGGTTCGACTAATTTCAAATGGGGGTGGGGGGTGGGGGTGAACAAATTCAAAGTTTACTAAAAAAACATTATGCAAGGCTTAAAATTGCATCCTGAAGGATGTAAAATTACCGTAACAGACTTACATACTCTACGCTCTCATTGTTTCTGGTCGAAAGAGTGACTGTGTCTATATCAACCTGTGATGATATCTCTAACAAATTTATAGATCGACTCAGAAATGCATCAGAACAATGTCTTCTGGTTATTGTCTAAGTTCGTTTTTTGTACCTGGTGACAGACACGTTGTTGTTGGTACTAAGGTATTCAGGATTAATGAATATGACTTTATAAAGTAGTGAGACAATATAAGGTCATGTGACAGACACGTTGTTGTTGGTACTAAGGTATTCAGCATTAGTGAATATGACTTTATAAAGCAGTGAGACAATGTAAGGTCATGTGACAGACACGTTGTTGTTGGTACTAAGGTATTCAGCATTAGTGAATATGACTTTATAAAGTAGTGAGACAATGTAAGGTCATGTGACAGACACGTTGTTGTTGGTACTAAGGTATTCAGCATTAGTGAATATGACTTTATAAAGTAGTGAGACAATGTAAGGTCATGTGACAGACACGTTGTTGGTACTAAGGTATTCAGCATTAGTGAATATGACTTTATAAAGTAGTGAGACAATGTAAGGTCATGTGACAGACACGTTGTTGGTACTAAGGTATTCAGCATTAGTGAATATGACTTTATAAAGTAGTGAGACAATGTAAGGTCATGTGACAGACACGTTGTTGGTACTAAGGTATTCAGCATTAGTGAATATGACTTTATAAAGTAGTGAGACAATGTAAGGTCATGTGACAGACACGTTGTTGTTGGTACTAAGGTATTCAGGGTGAATATGACTTTATAAAGTAGTGAGACAATGTAAGATCATGTGACAGACACGTTGTTGTTGGTAACTAGTGAGATGTAAGATGTTAACCCTGCTTTACAGGCTGGCAAACTCCAAATATTTGACGTTTCGTCTGGTTCATTGCTTGAAACTGTGGACGCACACGATGGTGCTATTTGGTCGTTGTGTTTAGCTCCCGATAATGTAAGGGACTTTACTTCATTTCAAAAACATATTTTTGGTCCCGTCGTTGTAAAGTAACATTATTGACAAAATTTGTGGACTGCCATGCCCTTCTTAATGTGCTTTCTTTCGATTATTTCTCTAACAGAAATAGCAGCGATCTTTTTGTCGGCAAACTTAAGTTATTCTGCTGCTTGTCATTTTGTAACTCCTTGAAGAGACAAGTGACGTATGCTTCACTTCACCCCACCCCCCGTCCTCATATATTCCCTTTTTTCAGTGAATCGTTCAGAGGGAGCTTAAGACTACATTAATCTAGAAATGATGAATTTATCTATTTCTAGACGCTATTCGCCTCAGGAAGTGGTGACAAGGATGTAAAATTTTGGGAATTTGATTTGATTACGGATGAGAACTATTCAACGACCAGGTATTAAATAATTTGCATGTAAAGCAACGTTTGCACTCAACGTGATTTTTCTCACTCTTTTAACATTGTAAGACGAAAAATGTCCATTGTCTGTCGGAGAAAAAACAACTTCATGTACTAATTCTGTTGAAGCTTGTGTTCTAAAGTTTTTTCTCTTGTTTTTCTTGTGCATTTCATGATGTTTGTAAAGAAATGTGGTTAAATGTGACCATCCGCTTTTTGTTTGTTCAATCCTCAGCTTAACATTTTCTAATTGTATGATTCAATATTGTCTAATTGCTTTATGTATTTTGTTGTACAATTGGGTGATTCATGTTGTATTATTTTGTTTAGTCAAAGATTAAGTATTTGTCATGCACGAACATTAAAAATGAATGATGACGTAATGTGTGTAAAGTTCAGGTTAGTTGTTGATTTATTCGCCTGGGGAGGGTATATGTACTTATGATCTTTCATTTAATCGCGTGCCAACCTTCGTTGCAGTCCAAATCAAAAGTTTATTGCCGTGGCTTTGCTTGATTTTACAATGAAAATTTTCTTCACTGATACATTGAAGGTAAGGTATTGGATGATAGGATATTGATAGCAGTTGATGATATTGGATAGCAGTTGATGATAATGGATAGAAGTTGGTTTTGGATAGCAGTTGTTAGATTATTTTCATTTGTTGCTGTAGATCACTTTAAAGATGACTCCTTGTACGAAATTCTCCCATTTGTTTTTCTATGAATCACAATAAAAATACACTTTGAGTTAGAACAGTTTCCTTTTCCTACAAAAAATTCACTAAAAAATCCACTTTTGTAAAAAGAAGGCGATATTTTTGACTTTAAGCTAGTTACGTAACATTGGATTAGTGTATGCTTTCCATCAACGTTATAATTTGATTTTCAGAAGTCTCAAAAATTTAACTGAATAAACATTTTCCTGCCCATTTATCCTAATTACTTTTGTATTCATTCTTTAAATGTGGTTACTTTTCCCGCGTCGTTATTTAGTTCTTCCTATCCCTCTATGGTCATAAATTACCTGTTGTTACCATGGATATATCAACGGTACGTTTTATTCATATGACGTGTGTTTCAAAGTATCAACGTTTGACTGTTGTATTTGATAGCAGTGGATTGTGTTTGTGAGAAGAATCCTTAGCCTACGTCATACATTTTGTATACGTCACATCCGTTTTAGCTGTTAATTATACTGTTATTATACTGTTTTTTTCAAGTTTACAGGAACGGCTTTCAACTCTGTTTTGATATTGTGTTTTATAATATGTTTTTTTTTGGTCGAAAGAACTTTACCACATAAAATATAAGAAAATTACGTATACACAAAAGATACATTACCAAGCTGTAAATAAGTCATTTCGCAATAGTTTTTCGAATTAGATATTTTCGAAATAAAATTGCAAAGTGAATCAATTTTAAATAATGCATTGATAATTTATGCGACAGTTCAAAAGAATGTAAATTTTGCTGGGTAAGCTTTTCTTCAATGTTGCTTTAAACCCAAACGAGGAAGTTTAGGTTTGTGACGTAAACTAAGGAATTATAAAATGAGCGATGATTATGAGAATGTAATGAAAATTGATTTGAAACTTTGAAAAAGACCTACATAATGTCAACTACGTATGACCGTGTAAATTTTTATCAATCCTCTGTTGTGGAAGTGTAGAGCCTGTAGCGGTCCATCTCTTGACCACTTTGCATTAGTGAACGCTTTTCAATGGCGTCTTTATTTATTTTTGAAACTTTTCTCTGTCTTTGGATTCGTATTTTTGTCATCCTTGATTCATTTTTTACAGGATAACGTTCTCCTCGTTTCTGGTGGCGTTGACAAGAACATTAAGATTTGGGGTTTGGATTTTGGTGATTGTCGAAAATCAATATTCGCCCATGATGACAGGTACGGACAATGTAATTTTAAATGAGAGATACGCAATTTATGATAGTAATATATGATAGCCTGAAACAGTCGATTATGTCCTTACTATACACTCGTATCCTATTTACATCGTCATTATACCCTATTAAACACTCTTGCCCTGGTTACATCATTGTTTCGTCATCACCATACCTTGTACGTCTATAACATACTAGTAAACCACGTCCTCAATTGTTTTATACTTAGATTTCCTACATATTTTTACCCGCATGTTATCAACATTACACCTTACCTACATTCATTGTATTTTATATTCTCATGTTATCAACATTACACCCTAATACCTACATGTACTTTCATTGTATACTTTATATTCTCATGTTATCAACATTACACCTAAATACCTACATGTACTTTCATTGTATACTTTATATTCTCATGTTATCAACATTACACATAGTAATACCTACATGTACTTTCGTTGTGTACCTTATATTCTCATGGTATCAGCATTACACCTAGTAATACCTACATGTACTTTCATTGTATACTTTATATTCTCGTGTTATCAAAATTACACCTAGTAATACGTACATGTATATTCGTTATTTATATTATAACAGCTTTAATCTTCTTTTAGTGTCATGGCCGTGCAGTTCGTGCCGAAAACTCATTATTTCTTCAGTGCAAGTAAAGATAAAACGATAAAATATTGGGACGCTGACAGATTTCTTCATGTTACGACCTTAGAAGGTCATCATTCAGAAATATGGAGTCTTGCAATCAGCCATGACGGCGAGTTTGTTGTAAGTGTCAAGTATGGAAGGTTTTAGATAATGTCGAGTTTGTTGTAAGTGTCAAGTATGGAAGGTTTTAGATAATGTCGAGTTTGTTGTAAGTGTCAAGTATGGAAGGTTTTAGATAATGTCGAGTTTGTTGTAAGTGTCAAGTATGGAAGGTTTTAGATAATGTCGAGTTTGTTGTAAGTGTCAAGTATGGAAGGTTTTAGATAATGTCGAGTTTGTTGTAAGTATCAAGTATGGAAGGTTTTGGATGATGTTAAATATACGTTTGCTTGATTTGAATGAAAGAATGAACGAAAAACGTTTACTCAAAGATCAACCCTTCTTCTTATTACTCCGGTTTCACATGCATTGTTTTTTATCTTATAGATGAGTGGGTCATATGATAAATCATTAAGACTCTGGGAACGAACGGACGAACCGTTGTTTGTCGAGGAGGAGAGAGAAATGGTACTATACATAGATCTGTGGCTGGAGCTGCAAAAATATGCATATAGTACCTGTACTTTCAATGTTTATTTTAATTTTTCTATTTAGGAGAGGGAGCAGCTTACGAAGAAAGCGCCGTAACAGGAGTTGAAACAATTGTAAGATTCTTTTTACTATGTAACATGAGATATGTATGTCCCATCTTGAGCCCAACTACTCTGTATTTGTTATATACTTTCACTATGGAAAATATCTTGTGGAAGTTGCATTTATTGCAGTAAATAAATTCATTTATTTAAACCATGATGTTGTTTAGATTCCAGGTGAACAAGACACAGAAGCTGTTAAAGCTGGCAAGAAAACTATCGAGACGATCAAAGGAGTTAGTTTTGTTGTTGTATTAGCATTGCAAGTTAATTTTATTTGTTTTGTACCCAGTCCCCCTTGTAGTACCTGAAAGATACCTCAAAATCATACAGATATATCGAAAACTGTAGTACACCAAAGACATGTGAAAACTGTGCATATCTGAGGCCAAGTGTTTAAGCTTACATTAAGACGTGGTACTTGGAGGATATTATAGTAGAATATAGATACTTGGAAGATAATACAGTATGATGGGGATACTTGGAGGATATTAGAGTACAATATATAATATACGGCTGGAGATTACTATGTTGATGTTTGTTCTCTTATCGCTTCATTAGGCTGAAAGAATCATGGAGGCCATTGAATTGTATAAGGAAGAAAGACAGAAAGAACTTGAACTTAAAGCGAGTCAAGTGACAAAAGACAAAACGGTAGGTTTGGTATTTCTTGCTCTGCCCATCTACAAAATGTTTATGTTATACGTATAGACAATCTTAAATCTTAAATAAAAGGTTTGTTATTTCTTGCTCTCCACATCTACAAAATGTTTATGTTATACGTATAGACAATCTTAAATCTTAAATGAACAATCTTAAATAACCATGAGCGGCAGCATCACAAAACTTTCCTAGGCTAAACACCCTAATTGGGACAACGCCCTACACTGTTATTAAACCCAAACAGTAAAACCACCACCAATATTTTCTTGCTCTTTAATTTTGACCACGCCCTGCATCGTTATTTAACCCTAACCATGAAACCACAAATATTTTCTTACTTTCTAATTGGGACAACGTCCTACACTGTTATTAACGCATACCTATGAAACCACCAAGAGTATTTTCTAACTCTCTAATTAGGGCAACGCCCTACACTGTTATTAAACTCTTCCAAGGAAACCACCATTATTTTCATATTTTCTAATTGGGACCACGCTCTGCACTGACCTACCCATGAAACTACCACCAATAATTCCACACTCTCTAATTGGAACCACGCCCTTCACCCTTCACTATTGTCTGATTTATACAGAAAATCCCTGTTTCGTTTATTACACAAGTTCTTTTTGTTCTCACATACATTTTCTTTCCTTTGAACAGCTTCCAAAGCGCGCCATTCATCCGATTCTTGCTGCCTTTGGTAATGTCAGTGTAAGTTTACTATATCTTCAATGTTTCCATTTAAGAACAATATGAAGGCCACGTGATACAAGGTGAAAGCCACGTGCATGTTGAACATGATTAATGTAAATATTAATGTAATGGTAAGATTGAAAGATTTACATACGTACGTACGTAGATAAGGAAAAAATGGATGAGATGGCTTTACATTTATAACAACTCTAGAAAAAATGAAAGTTAAATGTAAAATACACAGGATTTGGAATAATGAAATAAAATATCTTGACCACGAAGATGGAGGCCATAAATATTGTTGTTCTACGATTGAATGCCTGTCTATGTCAACCTCCTTTTCCCGGACCATATACTTACGTTGTTTGTAAAATCTTTTTTTCTTCTCGCAGCCTGTACAGTATGTACTTCTAGTGGTGAAAAAAGTAAAGTCAAGGTAAGGTTGAAGTATTATAAAGAGCAGCAGATTATTCCTTGAAGAATCGTTAGTTGTACTAAATGTTAATTTAGAGCATTTAAAAGGTAAGGTTTGGCAAAGTGTCTCATTGGTGTTACTAAAGGAATTAAATATTAAGTGTTATTAGAATACAGTAGAGAGGTATCTTGTAAAGCTAGTGTTTGTTTACAAAATATTTAAATTATTTAATTTCAGTGAACTTGAAGAATCATTGCTTGTGTTACCGTTTGACTATGTTATTGATGTACTGAAACTTCTTCTTGAGTGGATTAAGGTAAAGTGAAATGCATTTTGGCTCCTGTGTCCTTAGTTCACATGGTACAGGTTTCGTTTTCAAATTTTGCTAATCCCAGATGTACGTGATTGTTTAGAATGGTTGGGAAACAGAGTTAAGTTGTCGATGTCTGTTCTTTCTGCTGCGGTTGGATTAAGACCTAGTTTATTTTTGGTTTCGATCGATATTTTTTTCAATACGTCTGTCTTTAAATCATTTCCTAAGAATTTCATCACGTTCCATCAGTATTGCTGAATATATGATACAATTGGTGAGATACCTATGTACAGTGCTGGATATTTTTCTTTTTTCATATTTTGTTACAATAGAATACATCACAACAAGATCATATCCACTCCTAGACTACTGCCAGTAATAGACTCTATCAGATCACATTGTCGTAGCCGAGTTCGCGAAATGAAGGTAGGAAGTTGCACGTTCAATTAATCTCAAGTATCGCCAAATTTCTCCAGTAATTTTACCATGCGCTACACGACCGTTAATTTATTCGTGGTAAATTTAGTCGACACTTTAATGACTGTAAACTAAACATGAAAAAGTCGTCATTTCTGATTGGTTAAAAGCAATTAAGGCTTTCTTTCACAACACAATGCCAATGTTAATAATGAGTTTGGCTTTGTATTAAAAAGGTTCATAGAATATTCTTTTTTGTATTAACAACAGAAAAAGTATGTATTTAGAAACAAAAATTTTCAAGAGTATGAAGATTTCATTTTTCTCTAGTTCTTTGAATTTTGCTAAATTAATCGTCTTGAGTTTTTGAATTTTGTACTTCAAACTTCCACAGATGACTTTTGAAATTATATGAACTGAACAATTGACTTTTCACATCATTTGAACTAAACAAATGACTTTACAAATCATTTGAACTAAAGAAATGACTTTACAAGTCATTCGAACTAAACAAATGACTTTACAAATTATATCAACTGAACAAATGACTTTACAAATCATTTCAACTAAACAAATGACTTTACAAGTCATTCGAACTAAACAAATGACTTTACAAATCATCTGAACTGAACAAATGACTTTACAAATTATATCAACTGAACAAATGACTTTACAAATCATTTCAACTGAACAAATGACTTTACTAATCATTTGAACTGAACAAATGACTTTACTAATCATTTGAACTAAACAAATGGCTCTACAAATGAAATGAATTGAACAAAGTTTCTTGAATTTTTACATCGACGAAAACAAAACTATGGCACACTTGTAATGATTGCTTTATCTTTAGGATACTGTTGGATTCAATTTGGCGGGACTACAGTTTATTCAAAGACAGCTTGAAAATCGTGACGTCACATTATTTGGCGAAACACGCGAGAAACTGGGACAAATACGAAAAAAGAAGAAGACGATTTTGAGGAAATTTCGATGAAGGTTGTTTTGCTGTTTAATACTCTGACAACTAAAACGATTATCTTCCAAAGTACACAATGGCTGAGGTTTGATGACATTTGTGAACTTCCAGATTTGGTCAGAAGGGATAAAAATATTGATGCAAGTCAAATTTGTTGATTACAAAATTTTGTCGTGGGAATTTGAGATTGACGTTGAAAGAAGCGATTGTGTTTTTGTGAAGTTGTCTTTTACGGTTGCTGAGACTGGGACGAGAGGATTAAAGTGGGATCATAGTGTGGGTCTAAGGAGACTGGGAAGGTTGAAATGGAACTGGAAGCGAAGTGTTTATAATGGACCGGGAAATATAAGACTGAGATTCAACAAAAACCGCAAGTGAATGGGTTATAATGTATCCTAATGGATATAAGAGAATAGAGTTGTAAATTTAATGTCTAATGTTGTAGATTAAATGTCTTTGGCTTTCGTTGACGTGATGAAGAAATATTAAGTCGAGGAGAGAAGTCTATTTTTTATCGAATTCATCTGTTAGCAAATAGTGGAGTGGGCATCGGAAAAACATAAAAAACATGATCAATGGAAAATGATCTACTGTTGATTGCTGTACATAACCATCCTCAAAGATCCCTAACCCAAATTGTATCTTTAGAGGTACAAGTAAGGTCTCCATGTGCCCCTTCGAAATACATGATGCAACAATAAAATGCAACTTTTGTAATCAGCCGACTTTTAAAATTTACATGATTCAGCATTAATTGATACTGGAGAAAGCTTAAACGCGACAAAAGGGAATTTCATACTTTGTATTTTTATAATTAATTATTGAGCTAGCCTGACATGGAGAGTGAAACGAGCCTTTCACTTATATGACGTTGAAATACGTTTTTTTGCGCAACAGATTCTAGCTTGCAGCTACATAAATAATTTTACTACAAAGTGATCTAAAAAAAGTCAATTTTAAATTGAAAATGAGATCACTACATTCAACATCACAACGTTAAGTCAATTCCTGCATCGAAAGAGAAAATAGAATTGAAATGGGTTTTTACATTAAGCCGGATATTTCCCAGTTGTAAAAAAGAACAGTGTCACAAAAATTAAGGGAGTGATTGTTACTATAAACAGGAAAAAATAATGAATCGATTAACAATTATCAAGCAATTCACCCATCTACAATACTTATAAACAAAAAATGTATTTTATGAGTTACCAAAATGAATACAGAAAAAACTGCATCCTCATATGGCAAACTAGTCTTCTGGTCATTTCAGCATTCAACAAAAGGGATGTAAAATTGTCATGGTTCCTCGAAGATATGGATTTACTCTCATGAAAATGACCCAACAAACACTCCACTCATTTTAAGGAGCTTTAAAACTTCAGACTAGATAGATTGCAAACGTACTAATCTCATATACACTGTAAAAGTTCCATACAAGTTTCTTAGCTAATAGAAATAACTGTTCCAGTAAATTAATGATAATTGAAAATAGAAATGTTTGTATTGAATATTATCAAGAATATATTTAAACATTTTTATATACAACTGTTGTTGTTCGGACTTTAGTGTAAATTTTTTCCTTAATTCACGGAATCACAAATCCATTTCTTCTTTCTTCTCTCTCCTTGTAAATTTTCTCAAACACGAAAGCTTTTTTAGCAACTACCAGTTTAAAGCTTCAGTGTCAATTTCTATAGATGGTTTCTTACCAAATGAAGATTGTCGTATATTATTCCAGTATTAACATATCAGGACTTTTGTTTGAAATTGTATTGCTCGTTGAAAATATCTTTTGCTTTTTCGTACTCTCCCATATCACTGTAAACCAAACCCAGATTGTTGTAAGTTGTCGCAATATTAACATGGTCAGGTCCAAATGCTTTTGTTTCAATTTCCATTGCTCGTTCATAAAATCTTTGCTTTTCGTACTCTCCCATATCACTGTAAACCAAACCCAGATTGTTGTACGTTGTCGCGATATTAACATGGTCATGTGCAAATGCTTTCGTTTGAATTTCCATCGCTTGTATGCAAAATGTTTGGCTTTTCGTACTCTCCTATTTTACCGTAAACAAAACCCAGATTGTTGTACGTTGTCGCAATATTAACATGGTCAGGTCCAAATGCTTTCGTTTGAATTTCCATCGCTTGTATGCAAAATGTTTGGCTTTTTCGTACTCTCCTATTTTACCGTAAACAAAACCCAGATTGTTGTAAGTTGTCGCAATATTCACATGGTCAGGTCCAAATGCTTTCGTTTGAATTTCCATCGCTTGTATGCAAAAATGTTTGGCTTTTTCGTACTCTCCTATTTTACCGTAAACAAAACCCAGATTGTTGTAAGTTGTCGCAATATTAACATGGTCAGGTTCAAATGCTTTTGTTTTAATTTCCATCGCTCGTTCGTAAAATTTTTGCTTTTTCGTACTCTCCCATATTTTTGTAAACCAAACCCAGATTGCAGTACGTTGTCGCAATATTAACATGGTCAGGTCCAAATGCTTTCGTTTCAATTTCCATTGCTCGTTCGTAAAAATCTTTTGCTTTTTCGTACTCTCCCATATCATCGTAAAACGAACCCAGATGGCAGTACGTTGTTGCAATATTAACATGGTCAGGTCCAAATGCTATTGTTTCAATTTCCTTCGCTCGTTCGTAAAAATCTTTTGCTTTTCGTACTCTCCCATATTTTGTAAACCAAACCCAGATTGCAGTACGTTGTCGCAATATTAACATGGTCAGGTCCAAATGCTTTCGTTTCAATTTCCATTGCTCGTTCGTAAAATCTTTTGCTTTTCGTACTCACCCATAATTTTGTAAACCAAACCCAGATTGCAGTACATTGTCGCAATATTAACATGGTCAGGTCCAAATGCTTTTGTTTCAATTTCTATTGCTCGTTCGTAAAAATCTTTTGATTTTTCGTACTCTCCCATATCATCGTAAAACGAACCCAGATTGCAGTACGTTGTAGCAATATTAACATGGTCAGGTCCAAATGCTATTGTTTCAATTTCCATCGCTCGTTTGTAAAAATCTTTTGCTTTCTCGTACTCACCCATAATTTTGTAAATCAAACCCAGATTGCAGTACATTGTCGCAATATTAACATGGTCAGGTCCAAATGCTTTCGTTTCAATTTCTATTGCTCGTTCGTAAAAATCTTTTGCTTTTTCGTACTCTCCCATATTTTTGTAAACCAAACCCAGATTGCTGTACGTTGTCGCAATATTAACATGGTCAGGTCCAAATGCTTTTGTTTTTATTTCCATTGCTCGTTCGTAAAAATCTTTTGCCTTTTCGTACTCTCCCATATCACCGTAAACCAAACCCAGATTGTTGTACGTTGTCGCAATATTAACATGGTCAGGTCCAAATGCTTTTGTTTTAATTTCCATTGCTCGTTCGTAAAAATCTTTTGCCTTTTCGTACTCTCCCATATCACCGTAAACCAAACCCAGATTGTTGTACGTTGTCGCGTTATTAACATGGTCAGGTCCAAATAATTTTGTTTGAATTTTCATCGCTTGTTCATAAGAATCTTTTGCTTTTTCGTATTCTCCATTCTTCCAAAGCAACCCACCCAGCTCGTTGTACGAATATGAAACATTTACATGATTGACACCTAACTCTCTAGTTTGAATTATTATTATATCCTTAAGTACATTGATGGCCTGTTCATATTTGGCAAATTTTTCTAATACTTTTACAAAGTAATTGGTAATTTTCAAATTTTTTTCATCAAGTTTTTGTTCTCTATAGAAAAAAAATAACGATTTCTCGTTTATCAACTTATTTTGAAAGAGCTTAAATGACGAATTGTTTAAGAATTTAATAAGATGCGGAATTATTTTGATTTCATCTTCTCTGTCTTTAAAATGATAGAGTGCCCAAGCGACTAGACACGCAAGTAAAGACATCTTAGTCGAATTATTTGCTATTTGTTTACTGCAAGAGGTCTGCCAGGATTGATAATTTATGATGGCTTCATGTACAACGCGATGCAGGCGGATGTCGTTGTTTTCCGTTTGAAGAATTAACGAACAATGCTTTAATTGAAGGCATATATCTTCTGCTGACTTATGTGGATCAAGGCTTTTAATAAATTGTACGATAATATCTTGTGGTAACGGATCGAAAGATATTATCGAGAAAAGACCAAAAATTTTTGCCATTAGTATGGATTCTTGAGCACTTTTTTGTACTGCCAACTCAACAGTTTTCAACAAAGTTGATTTACCTCCAGAATATGCTTTATTGATCTTTTGAAATGTGGCATCCATGCTCTGTCGCTCTCCTTCATTCAACTTATTGAAATATTGCTCCCACGTGAATTCCAGATTTGCACTTTTTACACTACCTACATAGTAAGCAGCACTTGCCAGCACCAATGGTTGACGATCTAATTTTTCTGACAAATTCTTTAAAAAGTCTTCATCATGATTATGAACATCGGTATAGACAGATAGAAGTTGACGACATTCTTTATCATTCATACCATGACTGATTGAAATGTGTTTGTTTACATTGTCATCTGGTGGTATAGCATCTGTATTTTGAACAGTTACTATAATTTGTCCATTTTTCCAATTATGATCATCAACTTGAGGTAATAATTGATAAATTTTATCAAGTTCAACCACGTTATCTACAACAATCCACCATATTTTCCAAGATTTCAGTTTTTGTGTCATCAAGAAATGAAAGTGTTTGATTCTGTCTTCGCTGCTTTCTACCTTTTTTAAAATATTTTCAATAAAATGTTCATGGATGTTCAAACGTTGACAAAGTTCATTATAAGTTTTTAATAGAGAGTCAGCATCTTTTCCTTCGAGTGTCATCACAAATGTAGTTTTATTTTCCCAGTCAACAGAGTTAAACATTTCGTTGCAAATTTGTCTGGCTAATTGAGATTTACCACTGCCAGGATTACCAGAAATATAGTAATATGTCAGTTCATTATTGTTATTACTGCGCAAGTTATTTAGATCTGCTGTGATTTGATTAAGTAATTCTGTACGTTTAACTACATCGTGATTTGGTTTGCAAGGAAGTACTTGAAATGAATTAAATCTGTTTCGTTGACATTTAATTTCACTAATTTCAGTGAATGAAAATGCTAGGTATTTAAATGACTTTTCAATATCACCGACCATTTTGTGAAATTCGGTATCAGATACTTTGCCTTTATTTACATGAGTGAATTTGTTTCTTACATTACGGATTTCATTTACTGCATCTCTAACTTTTGTGTCAAGTTTTGTTCCAACTGAGTTAGAAAACAGTATTGATGCGAACAGTGTTGTACAATCCCACTTACTGGTGTCACCATCTTGAAAAGTTTGTAGAATATGTTTGTCATGAGGTTTCTTTTTTGTTTTTTCAATATTGAACAACTTTTGACCACTAACGTTTGTATTTTCCCATTGTCCAAGAGATTTTTTGAAATGTTTGTCCCATTCGTGGATAAATAAATCAGCAAGTTTCTTTTCAACAACATCGGTAAGTATTTTCTGCATGTAGTAGTTATTCCTTTCTTCTTTTGACTCCATCTACGTATCATAAAATGATCATAAGATGAGCACTAATTATTTATAAATACAATTTATGGACAACTGAAATAGTTGAAGATTGAGTTGGTAAATTTACAATTGTACATGAAATTGGTTAACCAATGTGGCTGCAGAAACTCAGAAAAATATTTTCATGCATTTACGTATTTTTGTGGCAGTTGAGCAAGTTGTTGAAAACCTTCATAAAACAAAATTTTATGTGTAGGAAAAAGCAATGCAAGCAGTTGGTCTATAGGTGTGTTTGCAAACCGATCTGAGCTCTACCAATTAAATCAATCAATCAATTTAAGGGATTTGCATATCAATAAAATTCATGTTAGAGGAAAAGTTAAAACGTTTCTTCTAATTTGCCTGTTTCGCATCATTGCATGCAGTACGTTTTTATTAAAAAAAAGTTAAAAGTGTTTGCGCTGGTTTATGCCAAGTTTGGAGAAGTTGTGAGTTCTCCCAAAGGTCTCCATAGTGCAAAGAGTAAATGTGTAAAAATCTTTTATAAAGCAACTATCTACATGCGATATAGGTCATTTTATTACTCCACAGGTGTTATCGTTAATAAATGTAGTTTGTGTAACTCACCATAATAAGACACACGACCAGCTTATTGCTATGAAATATGTGTAAAGTAAGAATAACGTAATGTTACAGAAAACAATACCAGTTTATCCAAAACACTATCAACACACGAACATCAATTGAGTTGCATCATCCTAACCATTCCTGAATGCGTTTCAACAAAGACTTTTTATGTAAAGCTGACATAGACTACGTATAGTCGGTATAAAATAATTACGAATATTTGTTGCAATTAATCATTTCATATAGTTATCTAAAGCAAAACTTTATTGATAATGCAGTTGCACTATACACTATATGAGTGTAAAAATTTTGGTTACATAAAAAAGAATCAATATAATAATAGTATTTTGCATTGATTTATTTTTAGTTATGCCAAAGGTCTTTAAAATCTGGTTTGTTTTCTGTTGGCGATGTAGAATATGCATTTTCAACATGAGATTCGAATGAGAAGCGACAAGTGAATAAAAAAAGAAACATTTTTCACCTTCCATACAGAAAAACAGTAGGGATCAGAACATTTACAACTGTGTGACAAGTGACGTGTCACTATTTGATTAATCATGTTATTAATCTTATAGCTTTGCTATATTAATATAATTTGAGATAAACTATTCAAATAAATCGGAGAAGACTAGAAGTTTACATTACTAAATCGTTTTAAACTCAAATTTATTGCAAAATCCCATTAGAATCAACAAATGTTATCCATATAAAACATTTACGTAACGCGGAAATGACTTTATCGCAAATTTTTCTTGACATAAAGAAATAATTGATAAATGGACATAAAATATTAAATCCCAAAATAAAAATACATTATTACATTGACGGATAAACTTTAAAATCAACTTACCTTCACAAATTGAGAAGGATTAAAAAATATGCAACCAACTACATGATGTCTTTGCTTTTGCTTGATAACAAAGAAATTGGAACGTTTAACAAAGGCTTAATTTTAATCACTATTTTTATTGTAAAATATTGAATTCTGTTCATAACAGCGAAACGATAAAATTAGCAATGCAAATTTTATAGCTAGATAGCTGACTTTGCGACACTATATGCATGTAGATAAAACTAGAAAATAGCCAACTGTTGAAAGTTTAATGCATGATCACTATTCTGTGCTCACAGGTGCATTATTGTGCAGGTTTGTGCTTAAGGAAGTTATTGTGCTTCTTGCGAAAACATTAATATATGCGTGTATCCGACAACATTTTACGTATGAATTAGCTTTACTATAACAATATTAAATTTCTAAATATTTGCTTCATCATGAATAGCTACATTAAAATATCTTATGCCAAGAAAACAAAAAGAGAAAATGATCATATGCACTGTTGATGTGAACAAAATTTCATACGTTCACTCTGTACTCATTTTTAAAGTTTCTATAATAAATTGTGTTAAGTTTTCAACTTGTTTTGTAAGTAATGCAAAGATATGACCATTAAGAACGAAGAATCGTCTGACAAAGACAAGAAAAAAGCAGCATGAAATAAACTGTTTTTTTGTTTTCTTTGGTGTGGTCTCAGCCAATAAGGCTGAACGTTTTCTTGCTAAAAGAAAGGAGATCGTCCAGGGAGAAAGAAGATCTGCAAGGCTCTGGACGACCAAGAAAAATAGATAAAATTGGAAATAGCACAATTTAATTTGCATTTTGGCTTTGCCACTAACTGCTGGTGTAATGTATTCTCGATGTTTTTCATTGATAAAATTCCTGTTAAGATGCTAAATCTTCAGTAAAAATAAACAACAAAGATCAGCGTATCTCAAACATTGGAAACTGGATAAGCAACGAGTACAATTTCGACAATTTGGCTCGCGTAAGTAAAAGTAATATCATCGAAATTGCAAAGTTTTTCATAATTTGGTGTTGACTCGATATAAACTGCTGCAAATACACAAATTTATTCTCTGACCTGTCTTAACAAAGCTCTAATCTTTGTCAAAAAATATTCAAGATCAATGTGTGAAAAAAATTTACAAAGGTCTAATATTAGTTATTTATGTGTTAGGCTTACTTGGCTTACTGTCAGGCTTGTCAGCTCATTTTCTTTATTCGTGTTCATCACGCGTGTCGAATGACACGCGTGTGTTTTTACACTATAATTGAATTTGCACGGGCGGGTTTGAAATACATTTTTACAATTAAACTTTTGGCAAAATTTTAGTTTGTTGTGGATGTATTTTTGTTTTATCTTTTTGTACTTAAAATCTCAGTATTTAATTTTATCTACTGTAATAAAATCTCAAATGGAGAAGGTTCTTTTGCTATGTCCTGAAGCTGACGCAGACCCAAGAGAGGTTGATAATGATTTAAATTCTACGATGGATGTCGAAACAACTGTAAATAATGCGTTGAATGGGATGATAAGTTGTTTAGTTGATGCTCTTTAGACCACTGGGTACAACCTGCGAGGACAACATACGAGCACAAGCTACGAGGAAACAAACTTAGGAGGCATAGCCTCCTGAAGTAGGTTGACAAGCTACAATCTACCAGACAACTATCTTGGCTTCTGTGCTTTAATCTATTGGAAAACTATTGTGAGTCATTGTTGGACTCACGAACGCTCAAGAATAAAGACTCGCGGTTGTACTCAAACAGAGGAGATAAGTTTTGCTCATACTTATTGATATTATTATTAAGACACTTATCTACTTTAATATTTACGCATTGATTAATAAATTGTTTGAGAAATATAACTGGTTCACACTATCTTTGTTGCGTGTGGAAATAGAACCAAAATTAATAGTTATTCTTTCGGGACCACGCACGTAACAGGCTCCCGTGAAGGGGCTTCCCACGAAGCCCAAGAAGGCTTCTGAAGGCCCCCTTATGAGAAGGCTCCCGTTCATCTTGAGAGAAACAACGTCATCTTCTGGTAATTATTAAGTTTTTAAAACATCTCGAAAAATGCAGAGAATTGATATTTTTACTTCATTTGACAGAAAGGTTTAAAGGAATAGATTTAGCTATATGAAATCCAACTTTGATTATTTCTATTAATGTTATACATAACACGTATAGTTGAAAAGGTCTTCATACATGAGGTTCGTACGAAATAAACATTGTATCTTGCAAGCCTTTTTATATGAAGTTCCATCGTAGGGAAATATTTAGGCTTTTATTGTAGCCAGTAGTTAGCACAAATCGATTTTTTGAACTTTTTCTTAAGTATAAACGTTAGGGACATAAAAATACAGCCAATCGTTTCGATGGACTTCTTGCGTCAGGAAAAGTTTGGAAACAATTATTTACTTGTTTGCCCCATTTATGTAAGACAAAATGCTTCATCGAAGTACGGAGGATGTGTAAAGCAAACTGACGTTGTTTTTTTTGAAACTTGGCTGACATGCATTATATCGATAATATATCATACACGAACAATGAGAATTGTATATAGTTTATATACGTGTATATTGTAATAACAAGAGTATTTCTTTAGACCAAACATCGTTGTGTTCATTTTTTAAAGCAAGGGACAGATCAGCGATTACCGTATAAGATCCTGTGGCCTGTTAAAAATTGTAACGGCTCAAGGAAAGGCGTTTATTCGTCTCAGGTGTTTAGTAGAGAGAAAGAAGTTTGCATTTGTATATCACCATAAACGTGAACAAACGGAAAGAAAATTAAGATTTGTTTATTGAGATTAGATAATGAAGATTTTAAATACAAGAATTTTGACAATTCACACGCAGTTGCGAAATCAGCCTGTTTTTTTTCTACTATTGAAATATCTATGTTGGTATTCAATTAGTGAAAAAACGCTAGACTTTTTGACGTTAGAGACTTCCTGTTCACGAGAAAGTCTCTCTTATAGTTTTACCAAGGGGTAGATAAAGGGAGGGGGGGGGAATGAAATGTCTTAAGTCGGTCATTAAAAGATAGAAGACGGAAGATAGAAGGTTAAGTGGTGGGCTTTTTCCATCAAATATTGATTCCAAAATGTCGACAGTCCGGCTTCTATGCCCCAAATTCTTTAAAATATGCGCCGCTTGCCAAACGCATAAGTTGCAACACAACAATCCCTTATTAACCTTTTAAGATAATGATCAGAAACTCCAGATTTGGGCATCAAATTTTGGCAGGTTTAAAACTACCTTGAAGAGTTTCGCCTGCGCTATGGTAAATTTCCGTGACGTCACAGATTTCCGCCAAATTTCATGATCTTGTTTGTTCAACATTCTTTTGTTATTGATGTAAAAAACAATATTGAACGAAGTAAATTCATGTTCATATCATCATTGAACGTGTCAAATTTAACGTATTTTTAAATTTATCATATGAATTTCAAATAAAACTAGATGTTAGACCATACGAGCTTTGAAAAATGTTAAATTGAAATCCATACATGAATTTTGGCACTATAATCTGCATGTATTTTTTCTTCAGCATAATTCATTTGTATTTGTTCATTGATATCACCACCAATTTGTTGAAGGCTATGGTTGGATATTATGCTGCTCATGTGATGCAAGTAGAAAGAAATTTGTTGAAGGCTTGCCTAACAATATACTATTAGATCCTCAGAAAGGTATGTAGAATAGATATTAAGCCTGCTTTCCACCAGCCACGTATCGTAACGTATCTTAGCAAAACGTAACATGGCGCATGCGTGCTTATGAATTTGATGGTCAATATGCACAAGCACGCATGCGCCATTTTACGTTTTGCTACAATACATTACGATACGTGGCTAGTGGAGAACAGGCTTAACTGAAATGAAATGATCAAAACAGGCCAAACAACATTTTTGTACTTGTCAGATATACTATATCCCAGTTGCATACACATATTAGCAATGGAAAAATATCTGGTTGTGTATGATGGAAAGTTTGGTATTGAAGCTACACATTTAGCGTTTTTTCAATCAGCGCCCAATATTGACCAAATGAAGCTGGTCGTGATCTGGTCTGGTAAATTCCCCACTGTGGGACATACCATTGGACGATACCATTGGACGACACCCCCCTTTCTCCTCCTGGTCTATATTGGCGGAAATCTTACGCCATAAATCCCCACGTGGAAATCGGGTGGAAGACAATTCGTAGTAGTTCAAGATGAATTTCCAATATTTAGGACTCTTCTTTTTCCTTTAAAATGGTCTTAACAAAATCTTATCTGCGTTACGTCGAAGCTGGAATCTTTGGCGTAGTGGGAAGTGCTAGAGCTAATGTGTGTCTTGTTCAAAGTGGCGAGAAAAGACGTGAAATTTGCCGCGCGATTGTTCCCGCACTAGAAAATGTATATATTTGGGACGCTAGACTTGGCGAAAAAGTATTTGAAGCGAATTGTTGAAACTTTTAAACAATGTTAGATTTTCCACTATTTAAAAATTGTTTTTATGATATGCTTATCTAAATGTCTAGGTGAATGTCTTACAAGGTAACAAGAGCGAAGTGACATGTCTCTGCCTCAGTCCTGACTCTGAACATCTTGCTGTTGGGTGAGTAAAACAACTTATCTAATTAAATAATATAGCATTTCATTATGTCTAGTAACTGATGCCGGATATTTACTTCATTGTGGCTAATCAACACTTTCAAAAGTAAAAGGTATGGTTGTAAGAAACACAAGGTCAGGCAGGGGAAGAGGCTCGACCCCTTGCTTGTAAAAGCCAGATCCTGTACCTCCTAACATATAAAAGCCAGATCCTACCCTTTCCCCTTGTATTCTGAAAGATTTTGATATCCAGGAAAAAAATGTCAGTTAACCTGTACGGTAAGTAATGTTAACAAAAATGAAAATCATTGGTATACATTCCCCACGAGTCCCAAACTATTTTAATTTCTACATCTTTGTTAGACTAGATAAATTATATCCATTTGACAACAGGTAATAAAATTTGCCAATATAAAATAATTTTCCTTGCTTTTGAAAACTGAACAGCTTTTGATCATAATGTATATAATAAATTTGCAGCCACTTACAGGGAGAAGAATGTAAAGCTTAACCTGCATACATGCAACTCCACCTGCAGTTTATTTTTAATTTTAGGTATGGCGATGGTGTCATCAGAATTTGGAATATAAATAATGGTACATCCTCAGTGACATTTAGGTACATTTCCTGTCATGGAATATATTTTTCAATTTGTTCTATTTTCAACCATTTGTTTACCATCGGTACTTCTGATTTCCAATTACAAAACGATCGAAAACTCATTTCAAAAAATTTTTAGGTAAACAAACTGTAAATATAACTCAGCATGCTATTATAATATATGTGCTAGGCACATCAACCAAAAATTTTCCAACTTTAAGTCCTACAATGCAAGCAACAAGGTATAAGAGGTATCCTGAAGAGGTTTACAACTTGTACAGATGTTGCTGATGGTGCATTTTGCTCTATTTAGCCGTTTGTTTGCCATTGCAACTTTTGTGTTCCAATCACAAAGCAGTTCAAAACTCAATTGAGATAAATTTGCCAGTAAACAAGTTACTACTTGAAGACATTTTTACACGCTCTCAACCAAAAGGAACATGGAAAGTTTTCAAATTTCAGTATACAAAATAAAAGAAAGATAAATGAACCTTGAATGCCTTGTAAATTTGCACGGCAACTTCTGAAACTATAAGAATAGTCAATACAACCAATGTTGTCCCTAAAAATATAGTATCGAGCAGTGACATAGTCAATGTTGCACTATTGCATTACTGTGGAGTGAAGGGTAGACTTGTGTTTTAGTGTAAAAATTATTAATTCTGGTGAATGGATGTGTATCAGCACTAATGTTTTTAAAGATGCCAAAGCAACCATCTTCATTAGGCATTTTCTATTCTTGCCATATCTTGAATAAAAGATTAAAAAAATTATTTCATCTTTTGTTTCATTAAATTTCTTCTAGTGGTCACAAGACAGCAGTTACAGCTCTTAACTATGATTATACAGGTGTCAAATTGGTGTCTGGATCAAAGGTATTCTTTAATTGTGATTTTTATGACACTTAAATCAATTGCCATAAATTGTGAAGGGTAGTTTATAAAATGTAAACAATTCATTTGTGTTGTTTTCTACCAACACTATAGGATACAGATGTGATTGTTTGGGATATAATTAATGACTCAGGAATATTCAGGTACGATTATGATCATTTAATGTTATATGACAAGTTTTTTAAAATAAACAAGTTTCAACATCTTATGATGCCTTCTTCAGTATAATAAAGAGTATTGTGTATGTGATGAATATAAATAAGAGTAATATGATACAGTGATACAATTTATACAATTATGAGTAGATTATATATAAATATTACAATGAAATATTGATTAGAATAAATGATAAGTGTATTAGTATGAAGGTGGCATCATGAGATGTTGAAACATTTTTGCTTTATAAAAACTTGTGGTATTCATTAAATGTGCATTATCAATACTGCTTTTATGCAGTTATGATTATGTTGATATTCCAAAGTAAGGTATTTCTCTTTACATGTTTTTTATGTTATTGACTTTCTAAAAGAGTTGGGGGTGTATGTTACTAACTGAGAGTGGGGAGTATGACTTACAAACTGAGAGTGGGGAGTATGACTTATTAAATAAAAGTAGGAGTATGACTTACAAACTGAGAGTGGGAGTATGACTTACTAAATAAAAGTAGGAGTATGACTTACAAACTGAGAGTGGGGAGTATGACTTACTAAATAAAAGTGGGAGTATGACTTACAAACTGAGAGTGGGAGTATGACTTACTAAATAAAAGTGGGAGTATGACTTACAAACTGAGAGTGGGGAGTATAACTTACAAACTGAGAGTATGGAGTATGACTTATTAAATAAAAGTGGGAGTATGACTTACTAACGAGAGTGGGGAGTATGACTTACAAACTGAGAATGGGGAGTATGACTTACTAAATAAAAGTGGGAGTATGACTTACAAACTGAGAGTGGGAGTATGACTTATTAAATAAAAGTGGGAGTATGACTTACTAACTGAGAGTGGGGAGTATGTCTTACAAACTAAGAGTGGGGAGTATGACTTACTAACTAAAAGTGGGGTATGACTTACAAACTGAGAGTGGGAGTATGACTTACTAAATAAAAGTGGGAGTATGACTTACAAACTGAGAGTGGGGAGTATGACTTACTATATAAAAGTCAAGTATGGCTTTCTAAATACTTATGAACTGATTGTAGAGGTATGACTTACTGACTTACAGTGGAATATTTAAACTGAGGTCTTGCCAACTGCATACATACTGTATGTATGTGTTAAAGCTTAGAAGCTACGTATCATATGACAGAGATGTCAAAGTTAGCGAGTTC